TGGAAGGAGTCGGGGCGCGTGGGAGGAGTCCTTTTCCCCCCTCTCTCTCTCACCCAATCGCTACTGCGTTTTTTTGTCGTACCTGTGATGACGTGTCTAGCGCGAGGGATCGCCTTTATGCGCACCTTATTGTTTTTAATGCACGCTACGGCCTACCTTACAAATCCGACTCATTCTTCCATTCGGACACTACTGTTAAAAATTTAGGATTTACGGTCTACCCTCTAATTTTTCTGCGCTTATCCGTGGTGCCGTTCACAATTCTCATATCTGAAGCTGGGGGTAGGCGTGGTGCCGCTCACAATTCTCATATTTGAGGCTGGGGTAGGGACCTTCTTATACTGTCTTTCCAAAGAGTCCACCTCTTATACAAATATAAGATTCCTAGTCTTTTCCACTAGTTTTCAGGATAGAGTCCAGATCAAATTACCAACCACGATCATATTTGTCTGTTTAATGGATTCTACCCGTTTTGTCCCCGAAGCACGCGCTTGTGAGCAAAGCGCCATAATAGAGTGTAAATTCCTCTAATTATGTAGATCAACATTAGGACTGTAATCTAACTATATGATCTAGCTCCTTCCAATTATCAGTGTACCCGGGTAGTCTTTTCAATATAAATAGTATATTGTATTCCACTGATAATTGACCAGCTTCCTTAAGCATATGTTACTTAAGTACATTCCAACAAGTGATATTTTTTCATGCTAAACATGTAAAACAATTTCATGTACAAATACATGTATAATTCCATAATGAGGTATTCCGAATATTAGTAATTTCTAGTAATTTGAATATAGTTGCAGGACACATAATTCCAATATCTCCCACTTGTCCCAAACGACCATTCAAATACTCGTAAACCCATAGCCTTAACATGCTTGCCAAATACCTCCTGACTAAGAGGCTTAGTCAAGGGATCAACAATCATATTAACACAATGTTGAAAACTGATACGCTTCCAACGTATCTATAATTTTTGATTGCTCCATGCTATATTATCTACTGTTTTAGACATTATTGGGCTTTATTATCCACTTTTATATTATTTTTGGGACTAACCTATTAACCGGAGGCCCAACCCAGAATTGTTGTTTTTGCCTGTTTTAGGGTTTCAAAGAAAAGGAATATCAAACGGAGTCCAGACGGAATGAAATCTTCAGAAACGTGATTTTCTCATCAGATAAGATCCAGGAGACTTGGACCCTCCGTCAAGAAAGCCACGAGGTGGTCACGAGGGTAGGGGCCCCCCCTAGGGCACGCCCCCTGCCTCGTGGGCCCTTCGAAGCTCCGCCGACGTACTTCTTCCTCCTATATATATCCACGTACCCCCAAACGATCGGGGACGGAGCCTCCACCGCCGCAACTTTCTGTATCCACGAGATTCCATCTTGGGGCCTGTTCCGGAGCTCCGCCGGAGGAGGCATCGATCATGGAGGGCTTCTACATCATCATCCAAGCCCCTCCGATGAAGTGTGAGTAGTTTACTTCAGACCTACGGGTCCATAGCTAGTAGCTAGATGGCTTCTTCTCTCTTTTTGGATCTCAATACAATGTTCTCCCCCTCTCTCGTGGAGATCTATTCAATATAATCTTCTTTTTGCGGTGTGTTTGTTGAGACCGATGAATTGTGGGTTTATGATCAAGTCTATCTAAATAATATTTGAATCTTCTCTGAATTCTTTTATGTATGATTGGTTATCTTTGCAAGTCTCTTCGAATTATCAGTTTGGTTTGGCC